GTCATATGCATTACTTCGGTTTTGAGTCGAAACTGTGCATGTATGCATTACTTCGGTTTTTGTCATATGCATTATTTCGGTTTTGAACCGAAACTGTGCATGTATGCATTACTTCGTTTTTCTCATATGCGTTATTTCGGTTTTCAAACGAAAGTGTGCATGTATGCATTATTTCGGGTTTTTCATATGCATTATTTCGGTTTTTTTCATATGCATTATTTCGTATGCACAGTTTCCATATGCACAATTTCAGGGTGCCGGTGTTGCCAAATGCAAATTGGAAAATCCAGCATAAATGCTCATTTATTTCGGGCATTTGCAATGAGCCAATGCGCATTTGTGAGGAAAAGCAAATAAAGGCTGCTAATGGAAATAATCCCATCCATCTGTCTACCGTATTAAATGGCATACCATTTTTATACCCGAGCGCACTTGTACACAAGAGTATTACGACTTCGTTCACATAACCGTTGTTTGTAACAGCCAAAACATAAATGTATACATACATGATCAGAATGAAAAGTGAAGTCGATTAAGCCATGTCTGTCTATCCGTCCGTCCGTGTACACGATAACTCGAGCAAAAATTGAGATATCTCAACGCAATTTGGTATGTAGATTTCTCTTTACCCAAGGTAAGTTGGTATTGAAATGGGCCCATTTCTCATATAACGGTAGTTTTCAGAAATACGAAAACTGCGATATTTTAGTAACTACTGAAGCTTATTCACTGAAAATTTATATTTACAATGATTTTTATACTTAAAATAAGAATATTATAAATATTTGGAAAATGGGCGTAGCCATGCCCACTTATGATTACATGTGTATATCTTGGTAACCTTTGCACCAATTTCTCCCAAATTTGGCATAGTTGTTAGCCTCGGGCAATAACCACGCCCACATCCCATATATATGTAATCTAGAGAAATACGAAATATTCGATAAATCAGCAAATACAGAAGCTAATTTATTCAAAATTGATGTTAGAAACAATTCTTTAACAAAAAACACGTTTATGATAAAATTTTTGAAAATGGGCGTGGCACCTTGGTATGTATATCTCGGTAACCGTTAGATCAATTTCCACCAAACTTGATACGATTTTTTCGCATACTACATGAAAGCAAAACGTTAAAAATTATTGAAATGGAACTAAAATCACCCAAAAATTTTAAATTTTTTGTTCAGAATTTTTAGAAAAATTGCAGGTATGCAGTTTTAGAGCCCATTAAACTTAAGTAGCCAAAAGTGAAAATTTGAAGATGCTAGGAAATCGCGTTGATTTTTAATAATATGTTTGGCTGACGGTGCTAGGAATCTTCTTTTATATAAAAGGCACTTATCCTAAGATAAAACGTGAGTGAATCGAACCTCTACTTGGTTTCGTACATTTTAATGACTAATCTTTAATATGGACACTAAAATCTCCTTTTCATATAAAAATTCGTACGTGTCCCACACGTGACAGAGGAATTTAAATTTTTTTTTTATAATAAAGCAATAATTTTTGTTGTGGTTTTTGGTTTGTTTGAATTCGTGGTACTTTGTTTTATTATAAGACATCAAGTTCACACAGAAAAGTGAAGTAAATTCACAGACTTTCCGTAAAATATATCTGCTCCAAAAATCAGGTTCTTCTTTTTGTACCACCCGTGACAGAAGAAATGACTTAGATTTTTTCCATATAAGACATTCTTTTTCATATCGGACACCAAATTTGGTGTCACACTTTCGATTGGCTTCAAATTATTTTATGGGTTCTATCCATGAAATAAGCTAACACGTGTCCGAGGAATTTTTTTTCGCTTTTTTCTTTGGAGATATGATCTGTCAAAGTTTGCATTTTGTCATAATTCTGACTAATTATGTACTCCTTCAAATCAATATATCTCGGGTTCTACCCATCGTAGAGACTTCATCTTAACCCACATTGTCTTAGATTAATTTTTGTAGATTTTTGGTTTCACTTATATACAGGGTAAAAGTAAAACTTTGGGAGTAGTATAGTTCTTCCGATATCGGCCGCTGCCATATGGCAACACGGGGCATATTCCAGATGGATTGTTAGAGGACAGTATTTGGTTAAAATATGAAATAATAGAAACATTGTGTGTAAATTTAATACATTTATTGATAATATATGCTTATTCTACGTGCAAAGCGGATGAAGAAGTTATTGAAAAGTAGCAAAACATTTCAAACATAACCCCACATCACATTTTGCACAGGCTACTCGCCCTATAGTTTTACATGCTTCACCAGCACAAAGAAGTTTTTTGGTCAATTTGTATGGGTGTATGGGTCTTGGAGAGTAAGCTACTGTGGATGCGCAATGTTGAAGAAAGAGAGAAGAAGGCCAGTAACGCCCTTTATGCATGTAAAAGAATGCTGGGAGTTACTTGGGGTTTGTCACCTGCTCTGATGCATTGGTACTACACAGCAATAGTTAGCCCAATACTGCTCTATGGCGCTTTTGGTGTGCTGGAATGCCGCACAAAAGTCCTTATGCCTCGAGCCAATAGAGAAGGTGCAGCGACTAGCGGCACAGTGCATCGCGGGACCGCTGAGGTCCACTTCGACGGCTGCTCTTTAAAAACCCTGCTCCGAAATCCGCACGTAGATTGACGATCATAGGGAAATTAAATTTCAGAACTTTTGGGCACCACTTAATTGGGGCGGGAAGCACAAGCAGCACAGGCTACATGGCACTTAGCTTTAAGTGGAAACGAACTTTTTGCACAACGATTGAGGAAGAGGGATGGAAATGAACCCTAGGCATAGATCCCTAAACATTTTCACGGACGGCTCTAAAATGGTTACGGGAGTGGGTGCCGGGATTTACTGCCGGGAACTGAACGTCAGGCGGCCAATAAGGCTACCTGACCATTGCAGCATATTTCAAGCAGGGGTTTTCGCAATGAGGATAACTACAGAGCTAGCCCTCACCGAAACAACAATCAATTCAAACTTAAACCTATTCCAGGCGGCAATCAAGGCAGTTTCCTGATGTAGTATTTCATCCATAAACGTCCCTCGCAGCCGGGAAGCCATTGACAAGCTAGACGCTGATAAAAGTCTACATATCTATGGGTTGCCCGGTCACAAGGGAATCTAGGATAATGAAGTAGCAGATGAGAAAGCAAAAAACGACACGAGTTTTCCCTGGAACAGACAAACTAAATTTGTATACCACTTCAACACTTGTACAATGAAATATACGATAATATGATTAGGCAGTTCAGAGCTAGATGGAATGAGTTAACCACCTGCAAAACTGCAAAAATAAATACAAACGATTTTTGTTTACGCCGTCTCATAGATGATGGTATTTTGCGTTGCCATATGGCAACACGGGGTCAATTTGGGCTAGCGAACATATCAAAATTTGATAAAAAGAGAAACAGTTCACATTACGCCCCATGTTGCCATATGGCAACGGACTTAAAAAACACTTAAATTATATAGCATGCACGATTGTTTTTTATTCTTACTTGTTACCAATAGTCACTAATATTTTAACTAATATTTTGTCACTATCATATTTTATAAATAAAAAATGCTTTCTATAAATTCATGCTTACTTCTTCATACATGACATTTTGATGGTTTTTTGTCACTTCTAATTTTGTTTAAAGAACGCACTTGCATTACACTCGATAGACAGCAAGGATC